CGGATTATGTGAGTGCGCGGACTTGTTATTGATTCAATTTTCTTTTTGATGGCAGTAGGTCTTTAATCCACGAAGTCCCTGATTTCGGTTTTCTTGAAGTTTCCACGAAAAATCCTTTAAAGTCCCTGCTCGGGCGCCACTTGTAATGTCCTATCTCAGGCTGAGGTATGCATCAGTCTGTCCAGGGTCCTGAATTACAAGTTATTTATAATTCGCAGGACTTTATTTGGGAAAACCAGGAACTTTGCCAGCAACTGAAAATGGGTTAGCGAAAACACAACACTCTTGGTTACTTGACTTTTAAAAGATATCTTTATTCTTCCGTATTATTATGCTACCGGGTTATGTTAGGTATTATGATATTATACCCGTACTCAAAAAAGAGTTAAGGGGTATATTAGATTTGTGGTAAAAGTGGATGTGTGTAACGCAGAGAAGGAAACGTTTCCGACCCCATGAAGTATATATATTCTTGATCAGCATCAATAGCCGAGTCGATATAGCCATGTCTGTCTGTCCGTCTGTCTGTCTGTCTGTCTGTCTGTCTGTCTGTCCGTCTTGTTGAGCGCCTAGATCTCAGAGACTATAAGAGCTAGGGCAACCAAATTTGGTTTCCAGACTCATGTGATATCACACTGCTACAAGTGTATTTCAAAATTTCGCCCCGCCTCCTTCCGCCCCCACAAAGGACGAAAATCTGTGGCAGGCACAATTTTAAAGAAACGATAAAACTAAAAACGCAGTATCGTAGAGAATGACCATATCTACCAGACTGCCGAATCTGAATCAGATCGGATCATAATTATAGCCAGAATGAAGAAATTAATTTTCAGTTGCTTCCCCTCCCCCTCCCGCCGAGACAACACAACTCATTTTCCTTCTCGCTCGCACACTCTGCCGCGTTCAGTGCGCGAGCAACCCCTAGCGGAGGAGATGTAGAATATGAATGGAACATGTACAATCTACATGTTAGATGTATAATAGACATTTTATATGTAGACATAGATAGCATATGTAGCAAAAAAATGTAAAATGTAAAATTTTTTTTTTTTTCTAAAATTCTAAAAAATCATAAGCTCAAAAGTGTATGTATATACTGACTGAGTACGGGTATAAGTAGAGTCGTGTCCCCAGAAACGACTCACACGTTCCTTCTCGTTTTTATTTGTTCTACAACGCGTATGGTGGTTTGACATGCGTGTTTGTTATTTGCCTGACTACTACGGCGGATGGACTCCTGCCCACGATGGCTGGTGGACTGCCTGCCTGCGATGGCTGATTGACTGCCTCCTACGATGTCTGAGGTCCTATTTCAGGCTGAGGTATGCATTAGTCTGTCCAGGGTCCTGAATTACAAGTTATTTATAATTGGCAGGACTTTATTTGGTGGAAACCAGGAACTTTGCCAGCAACTGAAAATGGGTTAGCGAAATCTTCCGTATTATTATTCTACCCGGTTATGTTATGTATTATGCTATTTTTATTTGTTCTACGACGCGTATGGTGGTTTGACTTGCGTGTTTGTTATTTGCCTGACTGCTACGGCTGGTGGACTCTGTGCCAACGATGGCTGTTGGACGATGGCTGATTGACGGCCTTTTTCTTCATGAAAGGCAGTGCCTTTTATAGATCGGCCGGCCTTCGATTTTCCCATGAATGTCTTACAGATATCTTATTTCTACTTCAGAATGTGGGAAGGGTTCTTACATAAATATATATTGCCGAATTATAGTCTGCGCGTGCAGACGGGCTGATCGGTAACAGAAGGTTACCTAATCATTAGCCCTGCAGTCAGTGTCCAATATTCCCGGTAAGGAAAGTCGGAGACTGCTGACTGGCTCGCGCATGTGGGGGGCTTGCCCGGTAATCGAGGGTTACCTAAGCCATCGCCTCCCAACAAGTGTCCAATGACCCAGGTAAGGTGATCGGTGTGCACCGGTACCGTGGGAAACGAATTTCGTTGGCACTTCGGGAATATATATTGTTAAGAATATTTATTTATTTAATATTATTTTAGGTACTTATTGCGTAAGCCCCTTGTGCTAGTCTCCTGTCTTTTGGCGTGTGCTGAGTTTAATGCAGATGAGAGGAAGGAGCCCAAAACCATCGCCGAAAAAAATAATAACACAAGCCAGCTATGGCGTACCCGCAGAAGAAACGCAGGTGCCCAAAACAATCACCAAAAATACAAACCAAGCCAGCTAGGGAAGAACCGCAAGGAGAGCCAAAAACGGCAAAAAAGAGAACACTATTTCCGAAGCAGATTCGGAAGGGATCACCAGTGGCTGTAGCCATAATCAATACATTACGGAAGTGGGACCTCACATTTACAGGGAATGGAGAGCTGCAAGAATTCCTCAGCCGAATGGAGGAATTAGCAGAGACATATGGGATCGAGGTAGACCACATGGTATTTGCATTGCCAGTAATACTGGAGAAGAATGCATCGGACTGGTGGCACACGAAACCCTGCCCAGCATGACTTGGGAGGACGTGAAAAGTCAGTTAAAGGAGAACTTCATGTCGCCGTATGAAACTCGTAACGGAACGGAAAAAAGCAGAGACAGAGACCATTCGAGAATTCATACAAGCCTTACGAACATTGATGAGGTTCGGGACGTACACAGAAAACGAGAAACGTTTGAGAAACTAGAAAGAGAGGCAGGACTATCAAAAGCCATAGGACACCAAATGAACTAACGACAAAGCAAAAACCAAAGAAGACACTTTACGACGACACTAAATGAAGCAATTGACGCTCCACCCTATCGGCCTCGATGTGGCTTGCATCGTACCGTGGACGGACCCACATCTCAAAACTAAACACCCGGATATTGCAATGAATGTACTAACCGGCTCTGCCCCACCCGGCTCTAGGATATGCCGCCAGCCGACATTCTACCCGGCCCTTCGATTGTGTCGCATTATTCTTGAACCAGGAGACCTTTTCTTTCAGATACCACATCCAGAGATCAAATAAATTTCTGTGAACCCCGGCGCGGCGAGCATACCCCGGCCGAAGTGCCGTCACAACTTTTTAATAAAGATCTATAAAATGATATAGAAGACATGGCGGGTGGCGAGCGAGAAAGCGAGTGAGCAGGGAGCTTGCCCCATAGTAACTCTATATTATTCTTATAAAAAGCGGAGGTGTAGTGTATTCATGCAGTGTGTTTGGCCTAATATATTTTAACACCAGTCCAAAGGCCGAAGCGACGGCCGCTGTCAATGCTCGAAAGTGATGCGTCTGCGTCCAGAGAACTTTACGTAACGGTCATTGGGCAGCTACTATCCCCGTCCTAAAATCAGACGCGTCATATTGCATATTGACCATGGGAGCCTTACGTAACGAGGCTATGTTCCCTACGGCAAGACACCTCCATGGAGGCAACTCATTCTGACAATTTTCATATAAATATAATTTTGATTTCAATAAAGAATTAATAATAAGCCAGAACTCTTCGTAGTCACTTCAATCGTTCCTAATCCTGCCTTCAATTCGAAACCACCGAATCACTAAAAACCGAATCCGAGTACTCTAGATTAATATCAGCAAGTTTCGTTCGTCTCTGAATTGACTCAAAACATACTTCGGATTTCGTCTGCCTTAGCATAGCATAGGGACTTTTTTGTTCTGAAAAAATGTTTAAACAAATTTTAATTTTATTTGGTGCAAGTATTTGGTGAAGTAACTTTTTGTCGGTGTAAAGCAAGAAAACGTACGCACACACAGAGCTACAGATTTTCAGAGGGTAAATCAAAAAATTTGTGTATTGCTTTCTCGTTCTCTCTACAAAAAAATCTAGTGGAGAGTGAGAGAGAAAACGAGAAGGAACGTGTGAGTCGCTTCTGGGGACGCGACTCTACTTATACCCGTACTCAGTCAGTATATACATTTTTGAGCTTATGATTTTTAAGAATTTTAGAAAAAAAAAAATTTTACATTTTACATTTTTTTGCTACATATGATATCTACATCTACAAATACAATGTATATTCTACATCTAACATGTAGATTGTACATGTTTCAATTAGATTCTACATCTCCTCCGCTAGGAGGCCGCGCACTGCCGCGCACTGAACGCGGCAGAATGTGCGAGCGAGAAGGAAAATGAGATGCGTTGTCGTGGGTGGGAGGGGGAGGGGAAGCAACTGAAAATTAATTTCTTCATTCTGGCTATAATTATGATCCGATCTAGTTCATATTTGGCAATCTGGTAGATATGGGCATTCTCTACGATACTGCGTTTTTAGTTTTATCGTATCTTTAAAATTGTGCCTGCCACAGATTTTCGTTCTTTGTGGGGGCGGAAGGGGGCGGGGCGAAATTTTGAAATACACTTGTAGCAGTGTGATATCACATAAGTCTGGAAACCAAATTTGGTTTCGCTAGCTCTAATAGTCTCTGAGATCCAGGCGCTCATCGAGACGGACAGACGGACGGACGGACGGACGGACAGACAGACATGGCTATAACGACTCGGCTATTGATGCTGATCAAGAATATATATACTTTATGGGGTCGGAAAATTTTCCTTCTCTGCGTTACACACATCCACTTTTACCACAAATCTAATATACCCCTTAACTCTTTTTTGAGTACGGGTATAAAAACGAACTATTTGGATCTGACACAGTAAAAATCAGGAGACCTGATTCGTTCAGTCCATTTTCGGCGACCTATTCAAAACTACGAGCTACGAGTATGAGAAGGCTGATTGGTTGATTCAATCGGATCGGACGAAGCAAATAACGAATTCCTCCAAATCGATTCGGTTGCCCGAATACAGGGCTCTAATGCATACATAATGTACATCGTTTGTAGACCTTATATAAGGCTCTGATTTTAAAAATAAAACTTAGTTTGAATTTACAAATCAGCTCGCAAATGTCTACACTTTTCATTTAAGGCTGTAACACTATATCTATTCAACTATTAAGGCTGAGGAACAAATAACATACTAGACAGGGCTAACAACGATAGCATTGAAAAAAAATACTCACTCTTCATCATATCGCCAACCTTCTGAAAGCTTGCTATCCCAGGGTAAAAATGTTCGCATATGTGGATCAACAAAATAATCATATATAGTGTCCTTTATTGGAAAGCAGCTTTCAATTTCTCGTATAAACCCATCAAGTCTTAAGCGACCATCTTCATCTACGCTTGCACATATTGACCATACTAAACAAAACATAAACCACAATTTAGTCATCTCCTCCAACAATTCTAAATTTTGTGGATTAATGCCATTTTGTTTTGTTGCAAAGCCATCGAGCAACTTACACAATGACATCACGCAGTTTAACTCATTTGTCTTAACGGGCTCTTTGCAACGTGTGCGCTTGTGCTCAAGCAATTTTGTGATCATAAATTCAAAATGAATCTTCAAAAAATCGGCAAACTCCTTTATTTTTTGGCGCTGCAGCCATGAGTTAACATAAGGTTTCCATCCCCAGTCATTATAGTCATTATACACCATACCACACCGAGAGACGGTAGCAGGTGAGGCTACAGCTAGATCACCAACTTCAAATAATAACGATACCTGCGCAGGCATAGTTATACGTTCACTATTTACAAGAGTAAGTAACTTATTATCATCCATTACTGAGTTCATATTTTCGATCCAAACAGCATCAACGGGTCCATCGAACAACAGCCATTTTTGCATTGGGTCTTCATCGGCACAGATAATACGCATTATACAACTAAGCACACCGTCAAGCCATTCACCAGTTGCCAAATTATACTCCCCGTATAACTCTGCCAAATTCAATGCTTTAGGATTTACGGGATGCACTGATACAGCCTCCCAGCCTTGAAATCGTTGTGCATTCATACGACAATATGCTCCTTGTAATATACGCCAAGTTACTGATTTTGCTGTTCCTGTATCACCTATAATCATAACTGAATGTCGGGAATTTTTTGTTTCATAAAGTTCTATGACTTTTTTAACTGCTATGGACATTGGCTGCAAGTTAGCATCCTTAAATTCTTCATATATTGCAATATTAAATTCGCTGTAGTCTATTACTGGTAGATTGACGCCAGGAAAAATATCTGAAATAATTCCATTAAAAAGTGGTAAGTCATTAGCGGTTAATCGAGCTACATTCATATCTTTCATAGCTAAGTAAACAATTTCTTCTTCATTTGTGTTTGGCAGCTGGCGGCGTTTGCGACCAGCATACCGTAAGAGAGCAACCATAGACCGAAGACCGAAATCATAGTGATATTGTTTAGATAATTGCTGCTTAGCTAATTCGTATAAAGTAAAAACCTTTCGCGCTAAGCTCCGCGTATTGGTAAAACCGTCAGAAAATAGCAAATTCTCCGCAATTATTATATTATCTGGAACCATCATTGAAATAGGACGAAACATAGACTTTAAGTTGTCTGGCAGTTCAGTTCTACCTGCATATCCTGGATTCATAGTAATAAAGAGTCCCACAGTATGTTTTAGCTTAATCATTTGACCTTCAAACATAAATTCAATCGATTTAGCAGACAGGGCTGCCATAATGGACATTATTTGTTGTGCTACAACAGATAATACTTCAATATTTATACGATTAAACTCATCGAAACAGCCCCAGGAACCACTTTGTGCCAGGCCCGAGAAATTTTTTCCAATACTCTTATAGTCTAGACCTTCTGAGCAGTTTGTGACTATAACCCACATTCCCAAAGCTTTTCCTAAATCTTTAACTGTCTCAGTTTTACCGGTACCTGCAGGACCTTTCGGACTCCCGCCACGATGCAAATGTAATGCTGTAGTTAATGTTATATAGCATCGATCAGTTAGTGGAGTTATTACAAGCCGTCCTGAATTACCAGTGTATTCATAGCCATACCAGTGCTCAGTATTAGTTTGCCTTATAATACATAGTTCTGATTCACGGTGCCAATAAAACCGTAGTTGTGAAAACCACTCGAAATTGCCAGTATCTTTGCAATTTGCTTTGTACATCCGTTCGATAACATCACGGCCATGAATCTCTAAGGTGATAAGAGTGTTAACTTTAAGTCTCATTATTTTGGTAAGCTCTTTCCGACTCATCTCTGACAGTTTTGAAAGTACTTTTATCTGTTTTCTTTTAAGTTTACGAAGGGGCTTTTTTTGGTCGACCATATTACAGTGAATGAGACTACGTGTACAATCTGTAGTCCATTGTATCTGGGCAGTGGTAAGTATCATTTGCCCGGGCCAAAGAAAGATCCACTTCTCACGATTTCCAATTAGTTTTTTTAAAGATCTTCTTGTTAGTTTTAACATTTCTTTCATTATCGTAAACATATACTCCTCTACCTGCTTAAGCCATCGTTCCGAGGGGCCATCGATATAAAGAACTTGTTGAAACTCTACAAATTCGCCATCATCAGAATACATACCAGAACCCTGCCAGCGATTTAGCGTTTTGCCTACTCGCTTAAGCTCAAGTTTGTACAGATTATCAAATAACTTTTTTAAGTGTGTTTGAACTAAATCTGGTCTTTTGGCATTACCCAATATTTCTAACATGTCATCATTTGAGATAAAGTAAAAGCGGGGAAATAGTTGGCGTTTAGTTTCAAGATAAATCTCTAAGGCACGCTGAATAAGCTCCAGCCGTTCATCCATGCGGTTAAATCGATTTAACAAAAAAGGTGGGGCACGTATGTGCGTTGCTTTAACTGCCGTCTTAGCTTGAAACATCTTGCTAGATATAGTTTGAAACTCTTCTGTAATAGTCGCAAAACGTTTAGCCTCATCTGGAAGCTGCTTACGAATATCATCACCTTGAAATATATTTTCCAAGTATAGCCACTGTCGTTGCACTATTAATCCTTTCTCAACACTTTCACTGATATATGATAAAGTTTTCTCCCAGTAATCTACAATTTCGATGAATGGTTCTACAAAACGAGTAGCCTTCATAGCTGATATTTGCACCATATGGTCTTCAAGTAACTGAAAGCAATCCTCTACGTTCTTTATTCGATATATGCCATCATGATAAAATGACATTTCAAATCCTTGTTTTTTCCAAACTGAAGCTATACTTTTTATTCCATTCTCAATTTGCAATTCCATGGTAGCAGCATTGGATATATCCTGAATTTCTTCGGAAAATGCTTGAAAATCTAAATTTATTATCAGTTCTAATGTAAAATTCTTCGAGTTTTCATCAAAGTCACTGAAATGAAAAGATTATTACAAGATTATTTATTTATTTTCCAGGAAAACTAAGTTTGTACAACACAACCTATTTATACCCGTACTCAGTCTGTCCTTCTGTCCGTCTGTCCGTCATGAAGAGCGCCTAGATTTCAGAGACTATAAGAGCTAGCGCAACCAAATTTTGTTTCCAGAATCATGTGATTTCACACTGATACAAGTGTATTTCAAAATTTCGCCTTGCCTCCTTCCGCCTCCACAAAGGACTAAAATCTGTGGCAGGAACAAACATATGTCTACCAAATAGCCGAGTCTGAATCAGATCGGATCATAATTTCAGTTGCTTCCCCCGTCACCCCCTGCATGAAACACGCAACTAATTCTCTTTCTCGCTCGCACACTCGGTAGCAACCTCTAAAAAATAAAAAAAACGAGAAGGAACGTGTGAGTCGCTTCTGGGGACGCGACTCTACTTATACCCGTACTATAGTATTTGTTCGCGTTCGACTCCCAGCGTCCCTAACCAATTATCAAGCCACGGCCTCACCTGGCTTTATCAACCTTGCGGGGGAGTTGAAAAATATTTACCGGATGGAAAAAATGTGAAAAGTCATTCTGAATATACATATTCCTTGAAACGAACCACGGTCTTGGATTTTTTTTCTTCCCTCTGGACTCTGGACTCGCCCTCTGGACTCCTCAGAAGCCTGCGTGCCCCTTCATTTTGTTCCTTCGAGCCGGATCATTAAGCATTGGAGAGATTCCCCCCTACGATCCAGCTTGCAGCGCGGGAACTTTGAAGAACAGGACTCCCAGCTAAGTACAAGCTTCGTTCATTCTAAGACACTCTGTCCGACATCCACATCTCCAGAATCCAAGTATATGTATGTACATACCACCTAAGTTCCATTTTCCGCCATCTCCGGCACCCCATAGATGCACTCCAACGCCTGTTCTCGCTCTTAATTGCTTAAGACACTCATGCTGCCTACTCCGTTGGCCCTCCTGCATGCCTATCGGTCTTCCGCAATCATTTCAAGCGAGGTTTTTTCTCCCCCTACAACAGGCAGCTCATACATACATGTATATGTATGTACAGATGTTCTGCTGCTGAGATCCGTCGCCATTCCACAGGTGTAAGTACGTACATATGTATGTACACACAATTCGTCCCACACAACATAAAACGCGTATACAAGAAAAATATACATATTTACTTATTGCGCATATTACAATTATTTCAACATAAAATACATAGCTCACATCCATATGTCAATTTATTTTCACCGGCTTATAAGCACACTCACATACATACATACGTACCGAACTATCCACACATACTAACCGCACCGGCTAACACAATTACACGATCATTGCCCACTAACTACCATCTGCTCGCATATATAAAATACACCATTAAATATTTTATGTCCGAACATTGCATCGGCGTACAATATATAACGTTTATCCCGAATAAATACGCAAATACGCATTGTTGGTGTTGTTTACATTTTAGTTCGAGATCGATAGTTCCAAAATCGATAAATGTATACAGGTTGGGGGTACTCGTGTTTTTAGTTTTGTCACCTCAGCAAGGCTGCGGCCGCTCATGTGGTTAATAATTATCGTTCATTGCGGTTGTTATTAAGAAGTGGTGATTGTCGAGAACTATTAAGTTATCATTAATAATTCTATTTTTGGTAATTAATAAATTTCCTTCTGACAACAAAATCATCCAATGAGTGCGCAAATAAATATTAGAATATTTAAATTCCTCTGACTTACGTGTGCGACGAGTATCATTCCGATTTCAATTTCCGCTTGTGCACTCTGCCCTCCGTGTACCACAGGAATTGCGAGCTCTACCCATAACAGATCCATCAGCTGAGTATGCCTTTTGGTGGAAAGAAAGTCAGCAAAAAACTAAAGCGTGTAAGCTCGCAGAGTGACGCAAAGCCGCCTAGCTCTTCCGCAGCAGTTACTACACACACTTCTTCTCGTTCGCCCTCACGCTCGCGAGGTCCGACCACTACCAAGGTTTGCCAGTCCATATTCGACACCCTGTTGTGTCCCTCACCATTCACGTGCACGGTTACAGGAACAATGGCCCAATCTGCCGCCAGCTCTGCACGGTCTAGGTTTGCTTTGGCTACAGGCCGGCTCACTCACTTTGACCAGAAACTTAATGCTCCTGATGCCCGCACCCCAACCATCTCTCTTTCTCAAGTCCGCCGGGAACAGATCCGAGGCATGTGGATGGAGCTCGAATCGGAGTATCGAGCCTGTTCTGCCCTTCTAGCAACAGAGGATCCAGATGGTCAAGTTGAGGTCCAAGATATGTACGATGACTGCTACGTAGTGTACGAGCAAAGTTTAGCTGAACTCAACGACCAGCTCCAGCCCCCAACTGTCCTTCCGACCGCGCAACCAGCCGTCCAGGTGCAAATGTCCAACGGTTGCCGCCTTCCTCCATGTGACACGGAGATTTTCAGTGGGGACTACAGCAGTGGCCCACGTTCCGAGACCTATTCACCGCCATCTACATAAAAAAAGTGGACATTTGTCATGCCGGCACAAGATACAAGGCTAGAGCCCTGATCGACTCCGGATCTGAGGCCACCTTTATTACTGAGCGGATGTTCAAAATCATTCGGCCCGTTTCCAAGCCGTCCAGGCTCAAGTCTCCGGTTTGAGTCAAACGGTAGCGGCCAAGGCCCAGAAACTCTGCCACTTCACGATCGGCTCCGCTTTAAGGCCCGGCCTCCAGGTCGAGACCACGGCTTACGTTCTTCCGCAATTGGCAGGTAACCTCCCGTCATACCCTGTACCGCAGAAATACATGACAGACCTTCCTAAAATCCAGCTAGCGGACCCCTCCTTTCATCGCAGTTTAACGAATCGCATTCCAACTCATTATTCTCAGGCGCGGTGTTGGGCATGGGAGAGAGAGGAGCTCGCTGTATATTCCGGCTCAGGCTCGTCGGCTAGGGGGGTGGTGATCTTGCTCCCCTCCGATGATTGGCCATTCTTCACTATAATATCCTAAATAAGTTGCGTGCTAGGGACAAGCGAAAACCGGGATAGAGAATCCCACACTAAAGGGAATGGAACTACTCCGCTGCACCTGCTGGTTCTCCTACCACGACCTCAGGTGTTGATGAGGCGTAACATGCCCACCCTACCGATGGCCATTCTGCCCCCTGGTCCACATCCGAATGGCCCCTTCTTTAGGGCAACTCTTCTAGGGCATGGGATTAGCCGATGTGAAATACAAATTTACTACTAGCACATTATAAAATTTATTTACGAACTAATGATTAATGATACCCAACGACATATTAGAAAACGAGAAGGAACGTGTGAGTCGCTTCTAAAGACGCGACTCTACTTATACCCGTACTCAGTCAGTATTTACATTTTTGAACATAAGATATTTTAGAGTTTTAGCATTAAAAAAAAAAATTTTACATTTTACATTTTTTTGCTACATCTGTTATCTACATCTACATATATTATGTATATTCTACATCTAAAATGTAGATTATACATGTACCATTCAGATTCTACATCTCCTCCGCTAGGGGTTGCTCGCGCACTGAACGCGGCACAGTGTGCGAGCAAGATGGAAAATGAGTTGTGTTGTCGTCGTCTGGAGTGGGCATGGGAAGCATCTGAAAATTTCTTCATTCTGACTATAATTATGATCCGATCTGATTCAGATTCGGCTGTCTGGTATATATGATCATTCTCTACGATAATGCGTTTTTAGTTTTATCGTATCTTTAAAAATGTGCCTGGCACAGATTTTCGTTCTTTATGGCGGCGGAAGGGGGCGGGTCGAAATTTTGAAATACACTTGTAGCAGTGGGATATCACATGAGTCTGGAAACAAAATTTGGTTGCCCTAGCTCTTATAGTCTCTGAGATCTAGGCGCTCAACAAGACAGACAGACGGACAGACGGTCAGACGGACAGACGGACAGACAGACATGGCTCTATCGACTCGGCTATTGATGCTGATCAAGAATATATATACTTTATGGGGTCGGAAACGTTTCCTTCTCTGCGTTACACACATCCACTTTTACCACAAATCTAATATACCCCTTAACTCTTTTTGAGTACGGGTATAAAAAAAGAATATAAATTTAGGTAAATATAAATAAACGTAAATAAAACAATGGAGATAAAAGTGCAAATAAATATAAATGACTAAATATGAATAAAAAAGATCAATACAACAAAATTTGCGATCCGCTTGAGCTTTATTCCTATTGCCAGCAAACAAAAAGAGACCTACAAAGCAGACAAGGAAAAAACACTCAACTTCGAGTGAAACGTCCGTCTCTATTGCTGCTCTTTTTCTTCGCGCCGATCGATGCTAAGGCTTCGACTCAATTAACGGACCTATGCATTGTTTGCCGCTTTTAATCGGACCTGAGTAATAATAAAAAAAATTCCCACTCATACCTTTTATGCAGCTCGTTGCTCCATCGACGAAAGCGCTTTCCTCGACGAACACCTAGAATGCTGTGGGTGGAGAAAAATTGCAAGGTATTGGGTCGGGAAACATATTAGAATGGATCGGTGGTGAAGACGAGGGCCAGCACTAACGGAATCGCACAAAACTCTCTAACCCTAATTTAACTCAATTATCAAACTATATTTTTTTTTTCCTTCAACACTTCCCAGTTTTCTCCGGATTCTTGACTTGATATAAGCTGGACCTAATTTAGCGCTATATCCCGCTGTGAAACTACTCTGCTTGAAATTTCTTCGGTACACATCTTGCCCCTCTTTGTACGCTACCTCTCTAGTCCTTAGGTTGTACTGACGTGCGTTCTTCTCGTACTGTCCTTTCATGACCTGGCAAGCCTTTTTGCGCACCAATTCGAGGGAATCCTCTCTTGAGAATTGCGCCAACCTATCTTCCAATAGTCTTAACGCTCTCAATAGCTTATATTGTGAGCCGGAAGATATAAAATTCTGCCCAAACACCATATAAAACGGGGTAGTGC